TTAGCAATATTTCTAACTTTAAATCAGTGAAAGGGTAACCAGGAACTATGCCATTACATTTTCAATTTAAGAGATGAACTATTATGAGCCTTCTAGGACAAAAAAAAAGCTATTAAAACAGAGAACTCTTAATTCCCCTGCTATGTTTTACCCAGGTTTTAGAGCAACAGGAAGACAAACAGAGTTTTTTAGCTCTAGGCTGCAGGCCAGCCTTAGCAGATCTGGACTGCCTTTATGTTGAGCTGCTCAGGTATCCTGCTCTCCTCCCCAGTGCTTTTATTATCCTTACGTAACAGACCTCCTCTAGTTACTGTGGCTAGTGGACATTAAGACTGTCCAGTTCGCTGACTTAGAGTAATTCAGCTCACACTGTGACACCTTTTAGCTGATTTTACTACCTACCAGCCATTCACAAGACTGAGACAAAAAGCTGAAGACATCTAAGCTAGAGCAGGGGCATAGTCACCAGGTCTATCATCACCTCCTTGGATGTGGCAAGGCACTTAACTCCAGTTAGCCCTTCAGGAGACTAGCTTCTGATATGAACAACAGATTCAGAAACCTGATTTCTGAGCTTGGGACCCCTCAAATGAGGCAGCAGGTGTCTACTCTTTAAGGCACAGGCCAAATAATTCTGCAGGGCATCTTCTCTATAGCTTTACAGGCCTCTCTCCCTATACACTTGTAACAATTGATATGGAAGATGCTCTGAGAGGTAGAACTCATCAGGAAAACTGAGTTAAAGAGTAAGCTGAGAAGTGATGCTCAGGCAGCATAAATTGACTTAGTGATATTTTAAATTTTTTTGAGCATCCAAGTCCTATTTCCTCAAATCTCAACTCAGGTTTCCTTAATGCTTCATGAGGCCCTCACAAGACCTCGATGCTTTGCATCCGCTCTGGCTTTGCTTCTCTGAAAGTAATTTTTGTATATTATGGGATACACATGTGAGTAAGAGAGAGATTTTGGTAGATTTGGGGATTGTCATTCTCTTGACACTCTTCTGCAAATTCAAAGAGGTACTTGTCACTCAACCCCAGCTTTTGGGAGGAAATATTGACCAGTTTTGGGACACTACACATTTTTGCTGGGCTCTCACAGCTGGTCTTTGAAACCTTCTGGAGGGACCAGGCTGAAACCCAAGACCGGAATGACATATGAGACAATTAACACATTAGACCTCCCCATCCCCGAGTGAACTTTTGTCGGCATGTCCTCTTTCTAAAAAGAAGGGGGGAAAACATCCTTTTTGTAGTGGCTGCTCATTATATGAAGCAAATCGAGAGTGAAGGGAGGGGGCAAAGAGATGGCACAGAGCCCGATAAGTGCACCCTTAAATCTATAATTAAAACCAAAGACAAGTTCCCAATATAGCCAATTCAGTTATATAAGATCTTACAAAAGCTTCACACTGTTTGCTGGGTTTTGCTTTATTACTGTTCCCTCTCCTCAGAGTTCACTTCAGGTCAGTAGCAGATGAGGTATTACAGTTGGAGTTTATAGCAGGGTAGAAATCTAACAGTGCCCTGTTTGTAAAGATATGCGAGTGTTCACTCAGAGGGAAAAAATAATCATTGGCTCTACTTGAAAGAGACAAAATTAATGGTCTCTTTGGAGCTCAGTTTAGACCACTTCTAGATCCGGAAACAGATTGCTAGTTACTAAGAAATAACTTGAAACGATGTCCCAAGAGTCTGTGAAAGGCTCTTGCCTGCCCACTGGTCAAAGAAATATGGCAAAACTACATGTAAGACAAAAAATCAGGCTGAATATGGCCTTGCTAGCCAGACAGACTGAGGAATGAGGACATAGAAGTGCTCTCAGAAAGCCCATGACAAGTCTGTACATCGTTTCTTCATGCCTACTAAAAGCATCCTGCAGGAAAACACAAGATCAGCTGACATATTTGTAAGTGTAGGCAGCTCACTGCAACAGTACTGGGAGTAGCTATTTCCATGTGGGAGTCGGAACATGTATCAGAACCACTGCGTTAAATAGTATGCAACCTAGATTTCAGAAATATAAATGAAAAGCAGATATCATTATTGACAAAAGCCTTCACTGCTGCATCCTCCTCTTGCATTCTTTACAGCAGCAATAAGCAATAGCATTCCTGAAAACAATGGTTTCTTAGGGCCATGCTGAAACTAGGCTCTTCCTCCATATAAACCCCCAGAAAACCCAAACCACCAAGAATGCCACATTTAAACACAGTACAACCACTTAGCTGCAATCAGCACTGCACAGATGTCCATGTATTTTTGAGGTACAGGATTCCAAAGACAAGGAGAATGTAGGAGCTGGGGAAAGAAGGCTGAACTGTCTTCTCCACTTTCTGGTTAAGTGACAAACTGCAGGTACATGCAATGTTCATTTGCTAGTGCAATTTGCTGAAGTCCCCTATTCCAGGGTGGTAAAAGTCCTCAAGAAGAACTTACCTGGAAGAAGCTGATAATTGCGGAGTATAGCACCAACATTCACATATCAAAACACTTTCCTGTTCTAAACCCCAACTATATTTAATTTGTCCCACAAAAATAGAAGTAGGGGAAAATAGAACACTTTCAAAAAAATTCCTAAAATACTACCCTTTCTTCCCAGTGGCAATCAGAAATGCTACTATTTTTTACCAACATCATAGGTAGCAGAAAAATGGAAAGAATTGTTTGCATGATGTTCGTGAAATCCATGACCATCTTCTCTTTGCAATCTGGAACCTCAATGAAATACACTTTTCAAAAATTAAGTTTTATATGGTATGTTAGTTGCTTGAAGTCTCTTTGAGCTGTGACAGTTGCAAATATCATATGGAAAAGAACAGAGAAAATCACCATGAGCAAAATGGTTGCTGATACTCTATAGTTAAAATATAATACCTGATTGGGTTCAGTTCCAGTTTCTCCTGCGTGCCTCCATTAGAGGACTTTTGTGATTAATAACTGTCAATGTCAGGCACTAAAATGGTTATCCAAAGAGTATTTTTTAAATTGCTCTGGTTTGAAAGCCGAGGCTCAGCTCTGCAAAGACCTGTGCGGGAGAGCTGTGGGAAGGAGAGACTCTGGGATCTTACTTTCCTCGTGTACCCACCAGCCCTCATGGCAATGTGGCTCCAGTCTCACAATGGCAGTAGTACAAGGCAGACTGGCCTTTCCAGGGCAACAGCTCTACAGCTGCCACACATACAAGCAGACCTGGGCATGTGCAGAAGGAATGCTTGCTTACCCTTTCAAAAGTTTACATATGGTGGAGAGACACACTGGATCCCAAAGTACATCTGCACACAACATAAATATGACATTTTCACAGCATTCTGTGAAGCTATGTCAGATGCTTAGGGCATAAATGAGAAATGGGCTCATTAAGTTTCATTAGGATGTAGCATCAGCACAGATTGTACTGGCTGACACCAATCAAACTCACAACCACCACCAAGTAGCTATCTGCAAGAAGGTTGACATCTCTATATTAAAAGGGAGGATTGACACTTAAATTAAGACTCACATTTTTACTGTTTTCATCATAAGAGTGTGACAAGAGCTGTTGTTTTCTGAGCAAAGACAATGATCAGCTTTTGTGATGCTATCACAGAATCATAGGTTGGAAGGGACCTCGAGGAATTATCTTGTCCAACCCCCCTGCTCAAGGAGGGACACTTAGAGAAGGACCATGTCCAGACAGCTTTTGAAAATCTTACTATATATAAATAATTTTTAATATCTCCTCATCTATAAATCCATGTAGTCTTTCAGATGTATATTCAACAAGACTACTAGCTGCAGTAAGCAGGAACGATCTATTTACCAGGTAACATTCTCAGACTAAACATCATTTTTACCCAGGGAAGTAAGAGAAAGATTGATACAACACAGGTTCTTAATACTAGATTATAGCATGTGTTTCTGGTTTTGAAAGGGCACCATGTACCATCTAATGAGAAATTCTACAAGTAGTCTGAGTCTAAGAGATGCACCACTGCCAGTTCCATGTACACAAGCTCTTCTCTTGTATTTATCTAGAAGTTTAAACCCTTTCCCTCAGTATAATGCCATCTTTCACATCTTCTCATAAAGAGAAGCTCAAGAAAAAAGTGCATCTGACAACTTTTTCACAGCCAAAAGATGGTCAACAAGTCCTGTGCAAATCTCACGAAGAAGAATCAAGATCTGTGTCAGTTTTATGTTGCTTTCTCATGTGACACTCACTCTAACTGAGACCACAGGGGCAAAAAAAATCATTTGATGGTTCGAAGTGCCTGACTTAAATACAGGATTCCATTTTCTTGAACACATTTCGATAATCATTACAGTCTATCAGCTTGGTAAAATAACCTCCAGCATTATGTCAATGCTGATTTTCCAGGGCTCATATGGTCTAATAAGTATTTCATTAATGATATTTATTTCAAAACTAATTTGCATCATCTCATAGATTTTCAGCTTCAGGTGCCATGTCTTCTCCTACAATATGCTGAAAAATGAGTTTCAGTTCGTAGTACTACGCTGACATCTCATTCCCTTCTTGTTCCCTTTTTCATATTTTACTTGATGAAACAGCACGAGTGATTTTAAGGGACCATTCAAATAAGGTACACAACACGTACATGACAGATCTTATGTACCATGAGAGAGGATAAATGTTACAAAGCAGCCTCTGATTTCTCAGTACAGTAACAGCCTCTTTCTCGTTAGAATCATCTCCTAACATATTTTTTTTTTTGGTTTATCCTCTGTTTTGATTTCTCCATGCCTTCCACTGTTTCTTTTATTTTCATCTCTGAGGTTACCACTTCAGTTAGAACACCTGATAAAAGAAAGACCAAGTCAAGTTTCACTGTCCACTCATGCTATTTCCTTTCTTAATGTTTACCAGATAGTTGTCATTAAATGCCCCGCTCAGAATGTACACATTCAAACTTGAGCTTAATAACAGTGAGAATAGAGATCACTATGGCAAAGGTAAAGTTCAAAGCCTTTCTCAGTTTCTTTGCTGTTCTTTTTCAGATTTTTAATCACAGAAAAACTGCCCGTGATTTTCAAGACTTCTGCTGTTTTGCCGTTTGGAGCTGCTACACCTAGCAGAGAACCTGCCTCCCAGTGCAGTTTCTGAGCATGTTTTCTTCTGAAGATTTCAAGTTCTTCTCATGTGACTTTTCTTTTTTCCCAAAAAAATGCACTGTGGTAAAGTGCCTGGATGCAAATAAATTGGTCACCAAGATAAGGAGTAGGTAAACATCTTCTCTTAAATAACTCAGTTAAAAAGATTTTTATCATACCGCTGCTGTGTACTCTTTTAGAACTGATTTTTAATTTCTATACACTCATGAAGAATCTTGTGAAAAAATTATTCAGCAATGCTCCTGCACTTAAAATACTTTTGAAATGGGCTCAAGAGAAGAGCCACTCATGTTCTTGGGCCCCTCAGCTGCGACAAAAAAAGAAAAAGAAAACTCAGTTCAATCTTTGAAGCAAACAAAACCCATAGAAAAAAATAAAATATGTGATCCTCTTCTTGTCTTCTTCCTAGGGAAACCATGACAGATGAGACCCAGGGAGGTAGAAAAGATTTTTCTCAGTGCTTCAGAATTATTTGTTCTTCCTGCTTGTGGAGATAAAACATAAAATACAATGATGGGTCCTAGTCAGATCTGCACTTAGGCATGGAAATTGCTTCTCTCCAGACTATACAAAGAACCAGGGTTTGTCAGTAGCAGTCTGAATCACTGAAGATTTTGGATGCGATAGTAGTTAGAAAGCCTAAATCAGGCACCCCAGGTAGTCAGCTGAAGTCTAAAAATGGGAAAAATAAGGGAGACAGAGCACCATTAATTCAGAGGGCAGATATTTTTCTATTTTAAGTCTTCAGATCTGCCTTAAATCTATGCTGTGGATGTAGCACATTGGTTCCTTCTGCTGTGGGTAATGAGGCACCTTCTGAAACCCCTTGCTAATTTACACAACAGCTGAATGCAGGGCAGGATTATGGCACCTCTCTGCTGCTTTGCATTTCATTTGCAGGGAGCAAGTGCTCTTACCTGCTGGCATGCTGTCAAAAATGTGTGCATTTTTTGTATCCCATGGAAGTTCTGTGGAGGGAGGAGGTTCCTCCCTAGAATCCATCTCTTACACTGCTTTCCAGCCTGCTGGTAGCAGGCAGACATATATTATTGGTAGTGCCAGCAACTGTTCTCTTGTCTAAGCTCAATGTGGAAACAATTGCTCAGGGGTCCTGTAAATAATAGTTCTTAGGTATCATTTAAAAAAAAAAATAAAATAAAGTCCCTTGGTACACAGTAAGCTGGCTGTAATTTTCCCATTACTCCAGACAGTGTCCCATTCATTGCTTGACAGATCTGTTTTTAATTCCAATTTCTCCTTTTCCTTTAGCTCTCCTGTTGCAGGTAGACAATAGAATTTAACTGTTTGTGTCCATCGCCCATGGCTTTATTTGCTGCCAAACCATTCACTGTTTCAGGAGAATATCTAACGAAAAGCACAGACTAGTACTGAGGGCTGTCTGTCCTACAGAGAGCACAGAACTGTGTGGCGGGGGAGGAGGAGAAGCAAGCTAAGAAGGCCTGGCAGTAACTAGTGTGAAGCCCACTGCACATGCAGCACATGAGCTTTAAAAATACATCCGCCTAATGCATTTTTAAATGATCTCCCTATATAATCTCCCTCATCGGATCGGGGACACAGTGCCGCAAATAATGAGATTGGAGAGGAAGCACTACAGTTCTGAGGAAAACTGAACTCCCGCCTAGTGCATTTAAAAAACGTTCTCAAAGTGATTTGAAGTAATGCAAATTATGCCAGAGAACAGAAAGTACTCATGCCTTAATCTGTGGTTTGGTTAGCTGCACAGAATCTGTTGCCTGAAACCTGCCTAGCCAGCCCTTGGTCCGCTTGCACAATAACAAGATGCTTGCTTGTTTTGTGGGGGACAGAGAGGCGGATACAGAGCACGAACAAGTTTTGGAGGGTGGCACTATTAGTGCTATGATTCCTATGTGGGACAAAACCAGTTTCTCTATGGACTGATGGTTGGTCTGTACAGAAGGAGGCTGCTAGCAAATCAAAGGCAATGTTAGACCTCTGTCAATTAGAACGAACCTCTCTTTCCAGCTATTATAAGATCAATATATTCCTGCTACTCTTGCCCTGACAACTATGATGTAATAAACTTCTAGGAGAAACAGCAACCAAGTGTTACATGATGGTAGCCATTGTGTCTGCCTGAATTGTTCTCTCTAGATACACAGGCTAATCGTAGGTTCCTGAGCTTTTCTTTCTGCTCACCACAGCAACTGAGATGCAGGTGTGCTTCTCAGAAAAATTCCTTCCTAGGATATCTGCAGTGTGCAGTAGTGTCTGTGCAGAAACAGATGATCCTTGTGCTTGTGTCAGCAGACCTGCGTGGCTGGGCAAAATTAGTTTTCAGAGCCACAGTTCTGAGGTGCCATCTGCAAAGCACAAGAATGCATCATACCATGAGAGTACAAAATATATGCATCTTCATCCAAGATGCTGGCCTATCTCCCTCTGCCATATGCTCCAACTGCTAAGCTAAGTTCCTGTTCCTGAGTATGTGCCAAACAGTAAAAACAGCATAACCCCTTGAGTTAAATCCAGTAGCACGGGGCTACTGGATCTTCAACTGATCATGATTCAGCAGCTGAAAATTCAAATGATGGTGTAATATTCATGGCTGACAGTGAAAAGTGAATTAAAAAGTAGGAACCAGAAGGAAATAACCTAAGATAGGCTTAATTTTTCCTTAATTATTTTTCTGTGTTATACTCCTGTGTCTCACAGAGGGGGAAGGAACTCACAAAGGAATTAAAGAAAGAACATGAAACAACATTAAGTAAGGTATAAGTAACTGAAAGGTTGTTGAACATAAATATGATTCAATTCACTGTTGTTTCCTTACTGAAAAAATCAGAATTTAAAAATTATCGCAACTAGCAGAAATTCAGATAATTGAGTAATCACCCAAATTTTTATAAAATTCATTCAAGAAATAGATGTCCCATGAATTTTTAAGCCAATATAAAGAATCTAATGGAAAATGACAGCCCCACTAGCACACTGCACTACCTTTCAGTTTTTTCACTCTATTCAGAATGACCCAGTCTGAACTCCATGTTTTCAAACCAGAAAAGATAAAGGTAAACCAACAGTACCTACTCCAAAGACTTCTGGGAATTAATGTGGATTCTCGATCACATTTTATCCAAGTTCAATAGTGTGGGGTTACACTTTCATTGGAATGAAGGTTTAACAAGCACAAGAAAGAGCCTTGGTGCAATAATTAGATAATTACAGAAATGCCATCCCTTTAAGTACCTCTGAACTGCTCCCACAGGGGATTTGCAAGAAGACCATAGTACAAAATGAGTGGAAATACAGCACCAGTGCTGAGAGATTTTGGCCCCAGTTCTACATACACTGATATAAATTACCTCACACAAAGGAAGTCCAGGCTGTACTGGTTTTTACCTGTGTTCACACAGGAAGTACATACAAGAAATTTTACTATTCTTTGCTGGAAGATTCCTGCCTCAGTTGCAAAGGAAAAAAAGTTGCCCTGCTTCACTGGAAAAGTGGACAGCAGGTTTCAGCAAGGGAAGGAATTTTGGTGGTTAGAGCCACTGGATGACAGGAATATCAGCTTCTCTGAGCCCCCTTTCTCTTCATGGCAGGTACAAGGAGAGCTATGAGGGCAGGGGGAGGACAAAGTAGAGAAGGAACAAATTCAGAAACTAAGAAGGCTCAGTTTGTGCCTTCCTCTGCCTTTGGCTACATCCATTGCCATAGAGCAGCTGCTGGCCACCAGCAGCAGTGAGCAGGCTTCCAGCCAGCCCAGTTTATTTGCCTAGTGTCCAATACATGATTATTCCATTGGATCCTGAACAGGATAATAGCTTGTCCCTTGTACATCTGTGATATCCAAATATAAAAGAAGATGTTGTGTATTAAGCAGTACCACTTCTGTAATCACTTAGCTTTGATAAAATCTTTAGGAAGAATGTAAAGATCCAATCAGGGAAAATCAGAAACACACTTTTCAACGTAAGTAAAGCCACAATTTATATCACGTGTTGCCAGCAGAAGCCAGTTTTAGTCTAATAATTGGCTTTGCAGTTCTTCTGGGTTTAATATGCATTTGCCATCTCACACACTGTACATATAAATTTTTTAAAAACGTAAATAAAAAATATGTTTCAGTTAGACTTTGGAAAGCATTTAGTTTTCTCTCAAAGTGTCCTAAGAGCACAAGACCTCTTGGCTTTGCCATCCTTACCTCAGTGCATCTCCAAGGTCTGTGTATAGGCCTGCATAATTCCCTGAGTCAAAGACATTCCTGGAAGGACTTGCATCAGCAAGACAAGATGTTTCAATGTGTACATCAGCCTCACAGTGACTATTTGTAAAAGAAGGTAAATAGAGGTCAAAGCACCGACAGTGAAAAATGGTCAATGAAGAGAAAATCAAGCATAGAGGAATCAGTCACATGCATAAAATACAAAGAATGTCATTAGAAACTGGGACAGGTTTTATACAGATGCATCTATTATTCTTAGTCTTCTTTAATTAATTTAAGGCAAATAATTAATGCTCTAGATACTCTGCAGAAAGTGCTATTTTTTATCTGCAAAGACTGCTAATTTCACATTGCTGCTTTCTGTAGCTGGGTGAATATGGAGTAGACATTTTCCCCTACCTCTAAAGAAAAAATGCTGGTTTTTGCATGAGTTTAGTGATCTTGCTTACTGTCATTCCTATGAGTCAGAAAAGTATTTGTACAGAGCTGACTTCTTCAGCACAAGCCCCCCCACAATGGAGGCTGCCTGGCACTTCAGTCCTGGACTGGTGAGCCTTGAGGCAACAAAAGAATTAGCAGTATCTTCTTTAGTGATAGAAAGTCAGGTTTCAGAATGAGGCCATGACTCAGTACGGCACTCAAACACCTTTTTGGATCTAAGCATGTGTGCGCACTCCTGTGCTTATTCAGCAACTGCTTGAGGCCAACCTACATTACAGCATGGGCTTAAATTACGTGGAAGCCTGTTGAACTCCAGCACATTTCAGCTCTTTGTGAAGTAGGATCTACAGTGATTAGGAACTCAGAAAACATCCTCAGTATAACCAGATTCTGACAATTAGATTTTACTCAGATGTAATTTGCTTGGGCACAGGACTCTAGTGAGTGGATTTGAAGATAAACATATCCAAGATGCTTC